TGTATTGAGAATATCTCCCGACGATGACATCATCATTTTTGGTACTATCATCGGGAGATATTCCCAATACATGGCGGGAGTGTACTGTGGGACATTGTGGGGCGCTGATTTGATCCCCCAATACATGGGGAGTTACCATAATTTGCTTTGTCTCTTTGAGGAAACCTATTTTCAATCTTCAAGTCATATAATGTTTTTCCAACATAAGCAAGTTTAAGATATAGCCCAGTTATGTTTTGGAAGGCTTCCTTTCTTTTTCTTTCTCGTCTGTTACTCATCATTATCCTATTTTGCATTTGAATAGGTGTACTCAATTTTTGAATTGTCAAATTCCAATGGATCATCTAGTAATTGAATGAAAGAAGTTATACATGATATTAAAACAGACTTAATTAGGCTGCATTTGGCATTCCTTATTTTAAGGACTTATCTCTCTTTTGCTGTTAAAATATCCCTATGGATACGGAGTTTTTAAGTGCAAAAAAGACATAAATCCTTATGATTATAAGCTATTCAATAATGAATGTCAAATGCAGCCTTAGTCTTAACCTTGAGTTTTTAAGAAATATGCAATTTTTATGATTATAAGCTATTCAATAATCATCCATGTTCTCATAAAAGACTATTTTCAGAAAAAAGAGTTTCAGGGAAAGACAGAAATTATATTTTTTGAGTATCTGATCAGCAGAAGGGAATTGATTATAAGCTATTCAATAATCACCCATGTTCTCATAAAAGACTAATGGCAGAAAAATTAGTTTCAGGAAAAAGACTGAAATTATATTTTCTGAGTATCTATCTGAACAGCAGAGGGGAATTGACAGCATAGAAGATGGTTACACTGCTGATGACATTGCAATTTCACTAAAATTTGATGTCTCTTTTACTTTTAAGTATAGCATTGTCTGATCTTTCACAATCTTGGTGACAGAACACTGTCAAACAAATCAAGTCAGATACCAATTCTTTTATTGCTGTTTTTGTTTCAAGTTTGCTTCTGCTGTTCTGAACTGCTATTCAATTTGGATACTTGATTCATGTTTCACATAAAAAGCTTAGGTTTTGTTTAAATTGTGGTAGAAATGGAATCTGGGAATGAACTATCAAAAAAAAAAGGAATCAGGGAATGTATTTTGCTCCAATCCGTAAATTCTCTGATTCTGTTCTTTGTATAAAAATAGGTAGAGCAGATTTTGATTTTATACTTTCTAGTAACGTGCCCTTATGCTAGTAGAAACAAAAATCAATGGTAAAGATCAACTTTTTAAAAAACGACCCGGAAACTGGCTACTGGCTTCCGGGTTGACGATCCGACCTTCCGATTCAAATGGATGGAGGACGGCCCATTTTGATAAACAAATTAAAAAATAAAAAAGGTTAAAACTATTGTCGATTCGTTCGACCGCCTGAGTCAATGGATTATTGACTTTTTCAACAGTTTTTGGTCAAAGACCAGGTTTGAAATAAAACAAAACCGATTGCCTAAATAATTCCCAAGCCGAACAGTCCAATCATCCAAGTCAACAGCGCTGGTGGTTCAAAAACCTTGGTGAAGATGTATATATTGAAAATACATATGGATGGATGAATCATGTATTATGTATTTATATGCTTACCGGAATTGTTTCTTGAATATTTACAATTGAGAAATGTTAAGCTGAGCTGATTATTGCTTATTAGTTCGTCTAGCCCAACACCCAACTGTATCTAGTCGAACCAATGTTTTTAAAACTTGACTTGCCAACATTTTTTGGGGGTTGAACGATTTGTCCATTTGGTCCAAATGGATAAATACATGATGTTTTTAAAAATATTAAAATATTAAAATATTAAAATAAAAATGACTTGAAAATCGTTATCCAGGTCTAACGTTTTAGTGGTTTAACCATATGGCTCAGCGGTTTGTTAATCAAGTCGATAATTTCTTTTGAAAAATTTGGGTAAAAATATGTTTAAAATAGAATTTCATAGCATCTATATATATATATTAAAACTGGTCCTGCCATGTTAGCATAGCTCTCCTTTGAGAGAATTTATTTATTTATTTTCTCATTTTTTATTTTTTTAATTCCATATCATTTTTCAAACAACCAATGAGATGCACTTTCCCAATAACCTAATTAATCTCTTCTCCTAAAATTACTCTTAAACTACCTCCCCCACTTTCTCCAAAATTATCTCTAATTCCTATTTATTTTCTAAATTATCTTTAATTCCTATTTATCTCCAAAATTATCTCTAATTTAGTAGAGATTTTCTCTCCTAAATTATCTCTAATTCCTATTTATCCTCTCCCCTACTTTTTATCTATATCTATCTAAACAAAGTTTGAATTAAAAATTTAAGAATTATTTATATATTCTAACAAAACTATAAAATAACTTTAAAATATTTATTAAAAACACAAAATTTTATATTTTTACAATATATATCACGAAATTATGTACTAACAATTTAAATTACGTTTTCATTGATTATCAATTTAAATGTTTTTTAAATATTTAATAATATGTAATAGATTTAAATAAATAAAATTCAAATAACAAACATTTTAAATATTTTATAGATTATTTAAATATTTAAATAACTAAATATTTATCACAACTATATTTCAAATAGTTAAAATAACGAAATTATGTAATCAATTTAAAAATTTTCTTCAAAGTAGAAAAATTATATAATCATAGTATAGAATAATTATAACATAATAGTTAATAATTTAATATATTACAAATTTAATAATGAAATTATGTAATCATAATGTAAATTATGATTTTATGGATAATTAAATTCAATAAATAATTAATATTTTAAAATTATGTAATATTTTACATATTATTTAAGTATTTAAATAACTAAATATTTTAAATAGCTAAAATAAACAAATTACATAATAAATATAAAAAATCTAAAAATTAGAAAAATAATTATAACATAATATTGAAATTAATAATAATTTAATATTTTTACATAATATTGTARATAAYTAAYTYCACWTATATCAAGTAATAATTCGAGAAAATAACTTTCAAAAAAATAATATTTATTAATAATAATTTTAAACTCTTAATATATATTTATTATATAATTATATATACTAAAATTAATAATTATTGTCTTTTATGATAAATGTATTTTCAATAAGTATGTATAAATCTATTTTGTTTAGTTATTTAATAGAAAACTTTCAATAATTATTGGAGTTTAAATTACTATTATTGAAATTTTTAAATTTAATTTATTGTACTTATTGTATTTATTGTTTTTTTTTGTATAAGTTATTGATTAATATTTAGTAGAGATTAAACTATTATTTGAGATTATATTATTTGACTAAGTTAATATATTTTTAGTACTTATTGTATTTTTGTAATTTCTGTGATTATTGTAGTTTTCATTATCTATATATTTTCAATAATTGTATATTTTTGCTATAAATTTTCAATAATTATTGGAGATTAAACTATTGTTATTTATTAGAAATAAGACTACTAATTTAGCTGAAATTATGAGTGTTCATGAGTTGGTTCGGTGCGATCGTAGGCTATTTGGCCCACCAAATTGACCTGGTCAGGTTAGGGAGTTGGTTAGTTGAAACCGACTAACCTTTTGTGAAAGATTTAAACTCAAGTTGTACCACTCAAGTTGTATTGGTTTGAGTCGATGTTTTTGGTTTGTCAGTTTGTTCAAAAGATTTAAACTTAAAAATTTAATTTAATTTTAAAAATTACAGTGTGATTATTAAATAATAAATTTAAAAATTACATTTATTATATAAAACATTTTAGACTAAGAAATATGAGAAAATTCTCACTTTTTCATATTAAATTTTACATTTAAAATATAAAATATTAATATATATCCATGGTTAGGTCATTTTATTTTGGTCAGTTTACAAATGGCCAAAGTGAAACTGATCCAACTTAGTCGAATTGGAAAATTTTTGAACCCAAGACAACTTAAAATACTAGAAAACCGACCAACTCGGGTCGAGTTAATTGGGTTGTTTGGTTTCATCAGTTTGATAAATAAACCCAACTGAAATTAATAATTGTTATTTTTGTATTATAAAAATTTTATTAAAAGTAGTATATAAAATATGAATAATTATTAATTATTTAAAAAGTTAAAAATATAAAACAATTGTATACTCTTATGTGTTCCTTTTAGGGTCATTTATTAGAATACACTTTTAGGGATGTCAATTTTCCCCATCCCCAACAGGGACCTGACTTCCCCAACCTAATGGGGTTGGGGATGGGGATTGTTTTGGTGGGGTGGGGGCGGGGATAAGGATTAATAGGAATCCCCGGTTGAGGTTGGGGATTGAGGTCCCATTGAATGGAAATTTATTAAATCTTCAATTAACAATAATAGAAATTTACCATGTGGTTGATACTTAATATATCATTTTGATCATTTCTATCATCAAATTGAATATTGGGTTAACGGGGACAGTATTTTCAAAATTAGATCAAACCAGATGATTAGACCAAAAAATTTGGCAACCGGACACCGTTTCACCTCAAAATCGATTTTTTTTTCCAAAAATTGTTTATTTGGTTAGCGAATTGTTGACTTGGGCGGTCGAACCATCAACCCGGATAACAGTTTTTGTCCTTTTTTTTGTTTTTCTAATTTTTTTGTTAGAGCGGGTCATCTGTTTGGACCGAATAGTCGGACCGTTTGACCCTAAAAACGGTTCCCTATCCAGTCCAATTTTAAAAACCTTGGATGGGGAGTTGGTGCCTTGCCTTGAGCTTGGCTTGGTGTGCAGCATGGCCTGGCCCATGGACCAGCCCAACCCACAGCATGACATGGACCCGTGCGGGTTTGAGCTGTGGGTCGTGCCAAACCAACCCTCCCAATTATCTTAGAGAAGGGAGGCATGGCCTGGGATGCCTTGTGGGCCAACATGGCACGATTCGCACTTTGTGCGAGGCCAATGTGGGTCGTGTTGTGCCGATTCAACACGACCCAATTTACACCTCAACTTGAACCCACCCAATATTGGGGACGGGGCAAGGAAATTCAAGGATTCTCCATCCTTGATGAGGAGTGGATGCCTTGCCCCTGAACTCGCCTGACATTGAGGAGTGATTACCTTGCCCTGAACCCGCATGACACTAGGGACGAGACGAGAATGGGATAGAGTGTCTTGACTATGGGGCAGGGATGGGGTGCCCTGAACCCACCCCATTGTTATTCCTATATAATTGTTAATTATTAGTAGAATTAATAAAAATATTAGTTTTTATAATTATTTTTATTAATAAAACTAAATTTATTAAAAATAAAATTATTAAATTTTTAATCTTTTAGATTTTCTCATCGCACGGTCCCTGCTAGTATGGTTTTTAAAATCAATCGGAAACAGACCGCTTTGACCATCGTTTCCTAGATCAAATGGTCTGAGCCTCAATCAAACGGTTTTTGGTTCGAGAACCAAACCCGGATTCGTGACTGATCCGACCTTCGGTCCGATCCAATTTTCAAAACCACGCTGGCAAGTACCGATGGATAAAACTATAAAATTACGCTATAAATAGGAGGATGGGGATCCTGGATCCATCTTCAAATTATTTAATTAATAATAATAAATTAATAATTAATAATTCATCATTAATTAATATTTGTTAATAATTAAATAATTGTTTGTAATAATTAACAATCATTTAATTAATTAACCTGCTTCAAATAATCATAACCAACAAGAATTCTCACATTAGATGATAGATCAAGTTGGTGGAGGGTTGGAACGTGTTTGGATGGCAGAGAAGATCCCAATTCATTTACGGAATGGCCGCAAGTCACAGCACATCCCACCGTGCGTTGAGAATATAACATAGAATAAGAAGATGCTCCAGATGTGCGGCTGCAAGATGCTGTGAGGTTCGGAGCACTCTGTGGCAAGTAGATCCAGACCCATCCCATATGAATATGATTGCTTCCGCCTCCGCCATTAATATCGGCTCTGAGTACATACTCCGCCATTACTGTCTTACTGACTATGAGACTATCACAGTAACAGTATAGACGACCCTGCTCTGCTCTGTAAGGAGCAAAGCAAATCCTGACTCAACCCAGAACCCGGAACCCTCGGAGTCTGATGTTAAATAAGAGCAGAAACAACAAGAGTCCACAGTTGATAAGCAAGCTTTCTCATTTGTGGATAATGGCTACCTTGGTTGAGTGACGTGGCTTTCGTTTTCCACCGTCTGATGATCCGTCCCACCAAACTGCGCCACAGATAAGGCTTAGCTTTGCCATGCGTTGTTTTCAGGATTCAGGAGTCAGCAGGAGTCAGGACTAATAACAGCGAGAAAGAACAGTAGTAGATACCAGATTGTTCGAGTTATCGACAGAGAAAAAGTGATAATCTTGCTTGTTCAAATTCAAGGATCTTAGTGTCATCCTACTCCTACGATGGCGATGACAAAGGAAGGGAAAGGCCCAGCTGCTCCTCTGCTTGAACCATCATCGCCCACGGGTACATCTTCGGTTCAAACCCTAGGAAACATCATCGTCTCTATCGTCGGCACCGGCGTCTTAGGCCTCCCTTTCGCCTTTAAAGTCGCCGGTTGGCTCGCTGGATCTCTCGGGGTCATCATTGCCGCTCTGTCGACTTACTACTGCATGCTCCTCCTTGTTTGTTCTTCTTTCCTCTTTCCTTTCGTCCAGATTTTGATTAACTCTACCATATATCGAAAACCCACAAATATAATCCATCTTCTCTGTTTCTACAGGTTCACTGCAGAGACAGGTTAGCATCAGAAGAAGTTCATACGTATGGTGACTTGGGTTTCAAAGCCTTCGGAAGGACAGGTCGGTATCTGACGGAGTTCCTTATTTGCATCTCCCAATGTGGTGGCTCCGTTGCTTATCTCGTCTTCATCGGCCAAAACCTCTCATCCATAGTGGGCACCCATACCTTGACATTGTCTTCTTGCATATTCCTTCTCGTCCCCGTCGAAATCGCTCTCTCGTGGATTCGTTCTCTCTCCGCTCTCTCCCCTTTCAGCATCTTCGCAGACATCTGCAACGTGTTGGCGATAGCGATCGTCGTTAAGGAAGACCTCCAGTTGTTTGACGGTTTTTCTAAGAGAGAGGTGATTACAAGCGTTGGCGGGTTGCCGTTCGCCGGAGGGGTGGCGGTGTTTTGTTTCGAGGGTTTTGGAATGACTTTAGCGTTGGAAGCGTCAATGAGAGAGAGGAAGAATTTCCGGTGGGTGCTGGGACAGGCGTTCACTGGGATTACGCTTGTGTACGTGCTGTTTGGGTTCTTTGGTTACTTGGCTTACGGTGACCAAACTAGAGATATTATTACTCTTAACCTCCCAAAGAACTGGTCGGCCACCGCTGTAAAGGTAAACCCCATTACTACTCCGATGACGATTATACTCTGTTGTTGTTGTAGGGAGAGTTGAATCTATCCCATATCTAATAATCCCTCAAGGAACTTGAGCTGGGTTATGTCATATCTGGGTTGAATTTGGCTTGAGATTCTATGCTAGCAGCCTAGCATAGACACTATAAATTGTGAGTTTTGACTGAGAAAACTTGAAATGTCTCTTAAATGTAATTTAGTACTGTAACAAGTAACAGTTCTATTGAATTTCGATACATTCCTCAAGCCAAAGCCAACCAATACTGGAAAATTCAGCCCAAGCTTAATCCAACCGCGACTTAGTCACACCTCTTAATGCTCACATTACCCGCTTCCGTTGTTGTCAATGGCGGAGCCAAGATTTTTCTTGTTATTGGGTGTTAATATTGGTGTTGATATGTGAGAGGCAGATAGGACTGTGCGTGGCGCTAGCATTCACATTCCCGATAATGATGCACCCGATTCACGAGATCGTGGAGGGGAAGCTGAAAGAGACGAGTTGCTTTCAGAAACTATGCGGAGGCGATTGGATTGGCGGTGGAGGAGGAGGCGCGGCGGAGAAGACTGCAATCTGCTTGAGCCGAGCGTTGCTGGTGCTGGCGTTGGCGGTGGTAGCGTCCTGCGTGCCGGGATTTGGGGTGTTCGTGTCTTTTGTGGGGAGCACAGTGTGTGCACTGCTATCTTTCGTGATGCCCGCCATGTATCATCTGGTGTTGTTGGGGCCCAGCTTACGTCTCTGGCAAAGAGCCTTGGATTTCTGCCTTGTGGTCTGTGGTCTAGCTTTCGCTGCATACGGCACTTACAATGCCACCACTTCTCTGGGCACCTCCTAACCTAAGTCAGTCAAATCATCATACATTCATGAGTCATGACCATGGTGGGTTTTACAGGCTGCTGAAACTGCTTATCGTCGACCCATTGCCTGCAGTCTGCAGTGGTGAAAGGAAGAACAACAAATGTGTATCTATGTCGATTATGGCGGATGATCAGAGTTTGGTTGTCCTGATTGTCCTTATTATCTTTGATTCTTTTGTCCTTTAGCCATTTGTAACTTTATATTTCAGATTTTGGCTGCTTGCCCATATGGCCATAACTCGCTCATCTCTAAAATGGCACATGCCTTGCGTCAGGTCAAATGTGAAATGCTCTTTTTTTTATATATATAAACCAGACAGGAGCTAGACACAACCGAGGGGGCTGTCCCATCCTCAAATGTCAGCACAAGAAAGACAATAAGAATGTCAGCCTATGTGAAATGCCCTTCCATTTGAAAAGGTGGAGGTGTGGCGCCTCCTTTAGTGGTGGGCTTGGTGAATAAGCATTTTGCATTCGTTCAGGAATTTTGCTTTGAGCTTCTTCCACCGAGTTTCCTCTCTCGCCTTACCTATACAAGTTCATATCTGCGCCCCAGTCCCTATAACGTGTCACAGCACATCTCCGCGTGTATTAGGAACATCTTCCGATGATTGATATCATTGAGCCCCAGATCTGAACTCTACGGATACACCATTGTGTAATGGGAAAAAATTATTATCAAGGCCCTATTTGTTTTTTGGTTAAGTTATTTATCCTCGTAAATCCAGTATTTTTTAAAAATATTTATTTGGGTGAATGCATTTATTATGTTTTTTTATTTCTCAAAGGAGTATTTTTGTTTCATTAAAGTATCAGTAGGAAAAATTATTTATTCGGGTAAGTGATATCCATGAAAATAGAATTTCTCTACTCTCCGTATAAATCTCAAAAATCTCACAGATTCCGTTCTATTAGTCTATCATTTATGTTTTTAAATGATGCACTCTTTATTGGACTACGTCAGTAAGAAGTCTATCATTTATGGGTATATAGAATAGTAGAATGTGAGTATCATTTAAACCCCCACTCTCTCGTCTACATCTGCCGCCCATGGTTTGTTTCTATCTGTCAGGTTGGGCTTCGAAATGGCACAGTAGGCTTTTAGTCTGGTCTCTGCTTCTTTGGCCTCAGTGCTTTTAAAACCCTCCCTTGATACATCCAACAATGGGTTTCTACGTACTAAGGTGGCATCTTATTAAACAGGCAATTGGCATTGTGGGTTGTGTCTAAGAATAAGATTAGCCATTTATTTTCAAATAATAAAAAGTTGAAATCCATAGTCCACGCATTTCTTTTCTGTTTTCTGAAGACTCACGCATTTTTGTTAAGTATTTAATGAAATTTAAAAATGCCTATATAAAGTCCAGTTTATTTTATTTGTTTCAACATTTTTTTTGGGTAATCATTTGTTTTAACTTTTAAGTAAAATAAGAAGTAAGACAATGTAGTCCCCACTTTATACGAAAGCTAGAGATGAAGCCAGGGGAAAATTATATGGACCCAAAATATTTAGATATAATTGGTTTGGGTCTTAATGGGGTTGGAACTCCAGCCCTATTATGATCCCAACTTAAAATGCATACCCACCCAAATTGTCCCTATTAATAATCATTCGAGGTTTTGTTCTGATTGAGGCAGAATTGCACTTAAAACAGGTGGCCAACTGGCAATGGACTGAGATGGCTCGGTTCAGCTAGTCCAAACTAAGCCCATTGCAAGATCGTGCAAACACAAGGTGACGTTAAGCCCATCTTAGGCCCAATAGCCAGACAATCGATAACAAGTTAACCACCACCTTGAGAAGCTTACTCCCACCACTGCAGAGAGAGAGAGAGAGAGAGAGAGAGAGAGGAGTGCCTGAACCAGGGTGAAATAGTCTAATGACTTTCTCAATGCAAGATTCAAGCTGAATGGGTTACACTTGCTTGAAGGACATCGCCACCTAGAACCTGCCCTGATCAAATGTGTTCACACAAAACTGTAGTGACGACATGCATGGTGAGGTGAGTGCCTGAACTGAACAGCCTCACTGTGATCACCTGAAAGGTGTCAAACACTAATCCATTTATTCCCACCATAAATACCCAACCATTCCTCTCGCCGCTTCACCTCAATTCATCTCTTTCCCGTCTCAACAACTTGAACACAATGGCCAAGTCTTCTCTGTTTTCTATTTGTCTTTGCCTTCTTGTATTGTGTCATGTTTGTTTAGCTCAGACGTGGCAGCGACAATGGCAAGGCCAGTCCCCAACACAACGCCGGTCCAGGGGCAGAGAGCAAAACAAGTGCCGGGTTGAGAACTTGGACGCCCTCGAACCTAGTCGCCGGAGAGAGGCCGAGGCTGGTTGCGTTGAGGAATGGGACGAAAACAACAACCAATTTCAGTGTGCGGGTGTTGCTGCTTCTCGTGTTACTATCCAACCCAAGGGCCTCTCTTTGCCCTCGTATTACAATGCACACAGGCTCATATATATTGTTGAAGGCAATTGCTATCTCCATCTCTTCCTGCTGATCTAAAACCATGCATCTTCATTCGTTACTATTCCAGTTAATTCGAATCCATGCATGCATGTGCTGTGACTAATTAATGAGCCTCTGATATCCATGCACAGGGAAGGGAGTTTTAGGGTTATCCATTCCTGGTTGCCCCGAAACATTTCAATCATTCCAGCAATCTCAACAATCCGAAGAAGAAGACAGAAGCCGGAGATTCCAGGATCAGCATCAGAAGATCAGATTCGTGAAACAAGGAGACATCATTGCTGCGCCAGGCGGGGTTGCACATTGGATGTACAACAATGGCGATGCACCCCTTGTTGCTGTTAGCATCTTTGACATTACCAACAGCTTCAACCAGCTTGATGATAGAAAAAGAGTAAAAATTCTAACTCATTCATTCAACCTTATAATAATAAAATTGGTTGCTTATTCATCCAATAAAAAAAAAAAGCAGAATCATATCATTTTCTTACAGTTGACCATTTGATGTGTATGTTTAGCAATTTTACCTTGCTGGTAACTCACAACAAGAAGAAGAGAAGCAGCAACAACACCAACAACAAGGTGGTGAGTCCTTCTCCCGGCGTGAGAAGGCTGGGCAGCAGGGCTCTTCACAAGAACATAGACAACAACAAAAAGGAGGCAAGTCGTCATACCAACATGATCAGAAGGCCAGACAAGAGAACTCTGCTAACATCTTCAGCGGTTTTGACACAGAGACGTTGGCCCAAGCTTTCGGTGTAAGCACGGAGACGGCAAGAAAGTTACAAGGTGAAAATGATCAGAGGGGAGGAATTGTTAATGTTGAGAAAGAGCTTCGGATGATTATGCCAAGTTCTAGCGAAGAGGACGAAGAATATGAACAAGAACAACAAATGGGTGCAAATGGTGTAGAGGAGGCGATCTGCAACATGAGATTTAGACAGAACATTGAAAAACCGAAGCATGCTGATTTGTACAGTTCATATGGAGGACGCGTCACCATCCTCAATAGTCTAAACCTCCCAATTCTCCAGACCCTCCAACTCAGTGCTGAGAGAGGAACTCTCTACCAGGTTACAATTAATAAGCTTCTCCCTCTCTCTTTCTCGTCACTGATCACTCTGTCGTATGTGTTTTTCTTTCTTCTTGTTAATTAGTTGCATTAATTAATTGTTGAATATAATTGTGGCCTCGATCGATAATTTGCACAGAATGCTATGTTGTCCCCTCACTGGAACATCAATGCACACGGTATCATCTATGTTCTTAGTGGAGATGCTCGGGTTCAAGTCGTTGATCACTCTGGACAAACAGTCTACAATGGCCAGCTTCGTCGTGATCAAATCTTGATCCTTCCACAAAACTTTGCCATAGCTATACAAGCTGGAGAGAATGGCTTCGAATGGGTATCATTCAAGACCAACGACAACGCAATGGTAAGCACTCTTGCCGGGAGAAATTCAGTCATTCGTGCCATGCCTGAAGAGGTGCTCACCAACTCATACCAGATTTCCAGAGAGGAAGCTAGGAGGTTGAAGTTCAATAGACAGGAAACACGGGTCTTGTCATCAAGGTCTAGTTCGGCTAATTTGATGTGAAATAAGAGTCCAACTAAAGCCAGGTAGGTTAGCCTGTGCGTGAGCTTTGTGTAAAGATCCATAATAAATAAAGTACAAATTCCTCAACTTTGAACATGGGATTCAGTCTCCCTTTTGGAATTCAACTACCTGCACTTCATTTTGTGCCGGACTGCCCTCTTAATTATGACCTTTACCCTCTCAAATAGCACAAGTTAAGATTTTAAGGACTTATTAACGTGCATGGATCAAAGGCTCATTTCGAACGTGCCTTGCACTAACTGAAGTCGATCTCAAGACAATCCGCTTTCCAATTAGAAGAATGTACGTAAAGATTAGATTGTCAATTTTTCCCTTTCTTTTTTTTTTTGTTTGGTCATTTCAATTGTTGTTTATTTATTTTTACATTAGATGGTGAAATACACCAGCTTTAATATTAAAGAGGGGTGATTTGGCCCTTCATTAATATCGTGTCATGTTACAAGTCCGAACCGCTTTATGACACCTCTGTGCCGCATGTGGCCGAGCTTCACTTGATTAGGCCGGCATCTACCAATCGGACCTCGTCCCTACTGACGTATCATTAGTCGGTTTCAACGGGGACGTCGTCCACCCTATCGGAAGGATCAACCTGTTGGTTACAACAGGGACTGCGCCGAACGGGGTTTGTTTTAACCATAGGATGGCCGCCCGCATGCACTCCGAGCCATGGTGACCACATACCACTTTGTCAATGAAATTCCCACTGGGTAATGTGCAAGTACGGTAGCCTTGAAAGGCAAAAGCAAGTAGTCGCAGGCAGTCGACTTGGACACAGAGGGCACCCAGTAGAGTATGCTGTCTTTTGGTTAGACTTGTAAACCAAAGAAAAAGTAACTTTGTCCTGGAGGACCATTAGGAGAGATCAAGAAGCTCCTTAAGGATTCATTAGAGAGATTGAGTAATCAAGCTAGATAGCAAATGTGGTGTTGTCAAAAAGGAAAATGGGAAGTGGCAAATGTGTGTAGATTACATTGACCTAAATAAAGCATTCTTGAAGGATAGATTCCCCCTCCCTAACGCTAGTTTGGGGTTCTAGATGCTGAGTTTCATGGATGTCTTTTTCAATTATAACTAGATTTGGATGAATCCTATAGACCAAGAAAAATTACTTTTGTAATTGAAACTGGGTTGTATTGTTATAAAGTCATGTCTTCATCAATGTGTTTAACATTTTAAGAAAATATAACCTAAAGCTCATTCCA